ATTGCAGCAATTACTCCGACACAAGCTCCTCAAGAAACGGAAATAAACCCAAGTTGGTTGCCGGAATGGCAAAACCGCGCACAGTTGAGGTGAACGAGACGGGGTTTGTCCTACCTGAGTTGTATATCCTTTGGAAAACTAAGTAAGGCGCGAGTGGTAACACGATATGCAAACGTTTTGATATGTTTTATGTTTGGACTTTGATAAGACAATAAACAATCCGTAAAATGTACAGTAATATTTTATTTCATCTGAGGAGAAGATGTACTTGAATAATTCGTATTATAAACAGGGTATTGTTGTTGTTGTGGTTTCAAAATTCCAGAAATGAGGTTGATACAGGGTCTGTATTACCGACTGTACTCTCTAGCTTGGAGAGATAACGTTCCCAATGGTTTGATAACAATGGAGTCTCACCCGTTTCACGTGAAGTGGTGTCAAACTCTGAGAAAACCACGGTATTCGCGGTGATATGCACTATCTCGTTGAGGTGGTCGTAGTTGTAGAACATAACATAAGTAGATTGGGCTTATAGTAAAGGAGATAGAGCAGATAAAAAGTGAAAAATAGCCAAGAGAATGCAGTGATAATGCGAAGCTTGTGTGAGCACAGCTCGATTGTGTAACGTAGACAGTGCAGATATGCAGTAGTTGTGAAATATGTTTTTCATATAACTAGGGTGAAACTTCATTGGAATACTAACCACCCTAAATCGTGTTAATTTTGTGTTATAATAACGAAGAGCATTCTAATGCACACGCGCTCTCGATTTGTCACAACAAATATGACGGCATTAAAAATGCAGTGTCGGGTATTTTGAACAATTCCAGCCAGATTTCAGGACCATCGCAGACTCGGCACTAGTCTGCGTTTCCCGAGAAAATATCAGTATAATTCTCGATGGAGTTCCAGCCGTTTTACGTAAAGTGGCGTAATACTACATGTGAAAAACGCAACATTCGCGATTGAAAACACTTCGCGAATTACACCGGACGAATCATCCCATATCACGTAGTGTTCCACGCATTATACAATCTTATGCCGATTTCAGAACCATCGCAGATGCGGTGCTAGTCTGCGTTTCCCGAGAAAACACCAGTATAATTCTGGACGGTCATGTAACAACAGCACTGTTGTGCAAGGCAACGTGTCACCATAGATATTACCAGCGAGTTACATCACCGGCATTCGAGATTCGGAAAATACGTGGGTACAAAAAATTGCTTTCCGCGACTAAGCCCTATGTAGATATCTGCATGGCACCGAATTGGTTCCTCTCGTGTGGTGGGTAGTCGGCCGGGAATATTATAGGAGTCTTGTGCTACTCCATGAACGCTGGAGAGACTACCGCAACGAGACGCTTAGTTTCCCCAATGTCATCAGATAATTTTGTGGCGCGTGACGGTGCATACTGGTGGTATTTTAGTATGAAGCCGTCCAGATAGCGCCTCCAGTTGTGTATAATGACATGCAGTGGTATACTGGCATCAGCGCGAACATCACAATTCCTGTATGCGAAACGCCTGTTTATGAGGTCAGTTACCATATATGAAAATGTGCACTATTTTCCGAGGTTAATGAGAAACTGAAACTATATCACATATAGGAGAAACACTACTAATGAAAAACCTATTTCACGAATATTGCAAGGCGCAAATATCGCGTTTTTCACCGAGTTTTACGCCACTTTACGTAAAACGGGTGAAACTCCACCGAAATGAAATGATCATTTTCGTGACCCTTACTCGTACATAAACGCCGGCGATAAATTCACGCTCCATAACGGTCCAAATTGCTTCTATCAAATTGGAGAAACCGCGTCAGTTTTAATTTGTAGGTAACCGGATGCTTCCAGTTCACCCACACCTTGTATAGCTATTCTAACTTGACGTAAGCATCGTCGTTGTTGCCCAAATTGAACATGATAATTTGATCTCAGCGAATACGCGATAAGATACAACTTCGAAATATGGCCTGTGTATTTCGCCTCAAGAGCGTCAGATGTTCAACTCAAGTTCAACCTGACGACTCCACCAGTGAGCAAAGCCTGGCCTCAGTGAGCACATGGCAAATGACGCCCTTGAATGAATATCTATTACAGTTCATGCTGGCTACATGTGTTGGTGAAAATTACGAGGAAATTTGAGGAAATCCTCGTTGGTTTCTGTACACTTCTGCGAAAGTTCGTGAGAGTAAACTTTGGAAACTCCTGAACTCAGTTGAGGAGAGCGAACATATATTTCTCCTACACTGTTACGAGCATTGCAAAGACTCCGTTTCGTGTCAGCTAGGGCTGCAATTTTGTGTATAAATTCTCCTAACATTATTATTATATTGGAGTTTCACCCGTTTCATGTGAA